GGTTCCTACTGCCCAAGTGCAGCACCCTGCACTTGTCCGTATCGAAACGCATCCTGTTCCTGTTAGCCCACCCCTGTAACCTATCCAGATCCCTCTGCAATCTCTCCCTCCCTGCTAGCATGCTCACCTCCCCCCAGATTTTGGTGTCATCAGCGAATTTAAACAGGTTACTTTCCACCCCATCATCCAGATTGCTGATGAAGAAATTGAACAGCGCAGGCCCCAGGACTCTTCTCTCCATGGAGGTTGCCAGCTGAGCTTATTTCCTTATGGCAAACAGACACATACATGAGACTGACACTCTGGGAAGAAGCAGTTCACTCCAATAGGATGGTGGAGGTTTGGCAAAAACAATCTATCAACTTTTCTCAATCATTATTACTTTTCTCTCCCCTTCCCACCCAATTCACGAGGTTGTGTGTGGGATGCTTCGTTCTGAATGGGCCGCTCTTCATGTTGCAGTTCAGAGCGTAGCACTTGGTGCAGCCACCAGACGTGATTTCATGGAAGTGCTGTCCACATATGGTGTCTGCTAAGTCCCTGCTCCTTAAGTCCTGCAAGGCCATTAAAAGCTCAGCTTTAATTTTTCCACAGTTTGTTGTTCGTTTTGCTGTTTTTAAGTTAGTTTCCAGCCTGCCTAGTTATGAAGAAAAAGCTGGAAATCATTGGTCTGAAAGGCCTACTTTATTAATTTGGAGTTTGGGCATACTGGTTATTGGTTTGCTATTCAGAGGTGCTGAGAATTTCTGTTCAAGTCAATGGGACTTAAAGGTTCAGCACCTATGAAAATCAGACCATTAATATGTTACGGACAGTTGTTCTGTTGCCGCTTTTTCAGGTAAAAGATGTAAATCTCCTTTCCTAATTAAGCAATCCTCCGTATTTGGACTAATAGTTATAGTTAACATTTGCAAGCCAGGAAAGGTTGACAATATGGGACAACCTTGCAATGTTCAGCTAAGTCAGCGCAGGTATATTTGTAACTCACGATCAAACAGAGTATCTTTCTCTCTATAGTACAAAGGAGAGTATTTGTGCTTAGGTTGGTAAATTCTACCAGGCTAAAAAATCTAGAAATCTAAACCGTCAAATGGATTATTCTGGTCTGACATAACAATTGCACGTATACCCTCTTTGTGTTGCTTTTTTCTTTTTTGCTGCCAGCATGTGTCCTTCTGAAGAAGGGTGCTTTGTGCCCCAAAGTTTACCTAACACACTTTTCCAGCTGTACAGTTGATTCAGTTATTTAAAAAAAGCACAACACCACCCCCTGCTTCCAGAATTTAATGGAAGTAAATATGTTTCACGTTGTTGCCTATTGTTCGTAAGAATTTCAACAGAAGGTCCATTTTGTTCTGTAACCTCTCTCTGACATTTTATGATATATGGAGGGACTGTTGAACAATGAATGATGATAACATGACTACAGCCCCAATTTTGTGAACACTTCCACTTGTGTTGGGATCCCAGCGCGTTTGGTGATATGAGCAACAGATGTGATTCCAGGACTGGGATCTAAGACAGGAGGGAGATGAAAATGGTAATGATCATTGCCTATCCTTTTGTTACTGATTGTACAACCCAAACCCGTCCTTCTTCATGCAGATGAGCAAAGAGATGCAACTTCATCAAAGGTTGTGGTGGCAATGTTCTTTTAGGAAGTCTTTGAAAGTGTGATCCAGGGAGTAACTTTGCTAACTGTGCTGCAGAGAAGGACCCAGAGGTTACGGTGGACCATAGGCAGAGCTGAATATGACCCAACAGGGTGTTACTGTTGTAAAATCAACACCACCTTGAATTGTATTAACAGGAGTGCCATTTGCAGATCAAAGGAAGTGATTATTCTAGTCTAGGCAGCACGTGAAGCCTTACCTGGAGTACTGTGTCCAGTTTCAGGCCCTATGCTTCAAGGCCGATTCGGACAGATTAGAAAGAGTCCAGTGGAGAGTGATAACAGTGATCAGAGGCTTGCAAGTCAAGCGCTGTGAAGAAAGACTGAAAGAACTAGGGTTATTTAGTTTGGGAAAGAGAAGACCATGAGGGGGATTTGATTACAGTCTTCAAATACCTGAGGGGTGATTACAAAGGCTAAAAACAGATTTCTCCCAGGACAAAGCCTGTTATTCTGGGATCTTAGAGTATATTGTCCCACCATAAGTACTTAGTGAAGTACCTGTGAGGTACCAAGATAGCCCTAATTGTCCCAGGAAAAATGTTAATTCCCATTCAAGCTGTATGCATCAAGGACTGTCCCCAACCTGCTGTGATGCCGGTTGAACCCAGGGAAAAATCAGACCTGGGATAGACCTCACATCTGTTCTGAGCCAAAAGATTTTCTCTGCAGGTACAGAGGAGATGAGACTGCTTCAAGTTGCAGAAAAGGTGGTTTAGGTTGGATATTAGGAAAAAACTTCCTCACTAGGACAGTGGTGAAGCACTGGAGCAGGTTACCCAGGGAGGTAGCAGCATCTCCATCCTTGGAGGTTTTTATGATCTGGCTATACAAAGCCTTGGCTGAGATGATGTAGCTGGGGCTGGTCCTGCTTTGAGCAGGGGGTTGGACTCCTGAGGTCCCTTCACACCTGAATTTTCTACAATCCTCTGACCAGGAGCCAAGGCCTCAAAGGGCAGCAGAGGAAACTTCCTTGGGAGAGCCTTTTGTTCCAGGGATATTAGTATAAGCCCATTGTCCCACTTTACATACCTGTGAAGTAGCTGAGATAAAATATGCTAAAACTCCCTCTCTCATCGCCCCACCAGTATTCACTTACATGGCTGTAATAACCTCTATAAACTAATTGTGGCTCCGTCAGTTCAAATGCTATTCATTCCAGGGACTAGTCTATCAGTAGGCTTGATTTGAATTTGAGTGTTTTATCTGGCAGCAAACCTTAAACCTTACAGATGGACAAAACCCATTGTCCCCTATATTAAGTATCTGTGAATTACCTGAACTGACACTTTGCCTTGTTGCAATCAGAGCTCATTTGAGTTAATTGCCATTTAAGCTTCATGAGTAAACAACTCTCTTTCATCTGTTATGATACCAGTCATACCCCAAACCAATCCCAGCAGCATTACACAGGTTGTGCCTCTTTAGTCTCAGAAGGGTAGCAACTAGATTGGAAGGGATGCCTGGTTAAGGGGCTATCCAGGTCCTCTTTTTTTCCCCCAGGTTTTGATCAATCACGTTTGCTTCAAATGAAGCAGCCTCTCTCACTATGAGGATGACTGGGCCCTGGAACAGGCAACTTAGAGAAGCGGTAGGATTTCCATCCCTGGAAACTTTGAAAAGCTAGGATGAGTTAGGGAGGGAACAATCCTGCCATGAGCAGGAGGCTGCCCTTGATCAGCATTTTTCAACCTGAGTCACAGGAATATATGAAAGGGTCACGAACAAACTTTAAATGGATTCTCCGTTAAAGCCGGAAAACATGGGAAACGGTGGGTTTTCCCCTGCAGGCTGGCACAGCTCCAGCCTGAGAAGGGGCCCTGCCATGCTCCACACACCCACCCCTTGCCCTGCACACTGGAAGGATGAGGTTTGGGGGCACTGGGTCAGGACTGGTCAATGGTGTTTACAAATGGGTCCTGGTACAAAAAAGGTGGAGAACCACTGCACTAGATTACTGGTTCTCCACCTTTCTTGTACCAGGACCCATTTGTAAACATCACTGGCCGGTCCCAACCCAATAAATGGTTTAAGTAGAAACTCCCCTCACTCCCAGCCCTGACTCCTGGACAGGGGGGTGTGGGGCATGGGGGGGCAAGCAGCCCCTCAAAGCCTGGAGCTCTGCCAGCCTGCAAGGGAAAACACAGAGTTTCTCATGTTTTTCTCCTTTAAAGGATCATCCATTTTAAAAGTTGTTTGATCCATTTTTAAAGTATGTTTGTGACCCTTTCATATATTCTTGTGACCCACGGGCTGAGAGACGCTGCGCTAGATGACGTTATGTGGCCCTTCCATCTATGAAAGTGCCTCCACCTTATGGTTATAACAGCCTGACAAAATAGCATCATTGCTTGACTGTTTATAGCTGAAGAGCAGTGTGGCAGGCTCTGCTGGCATGCCCAGAGAGAAATCCCTTAACTCCCATTTACACACTGGCGTTCAGATGTCGCCCTTGGATCCGTTTGTTTTTTGAACTGCTCCACTTTACCAGGTGCCGCAGCAACTGGGTCCTGTGTCCGGTTAGAGCAAAATCTGGGTTTGCGCACCGGTCTCTCTCCAAGTGTTTGCATCTACTGATCTTCCTCAGCACAGCGTCTAGTGCTCTTTTTCTGTTGCTTTTCACTTCTCCGTTCTTCTAATGCTGCTCAACCCTTGTTAACACTTTTTTCCCCTGCTAACCGGCGTGTTTATATTAAAGTGCAACTCTATTTTCAGGGCTTGTGATGGCTGGCTCATTTTATCATGGTCGTGATACCTGTGGATACCAGGCACCCACCTGTGCAGCCCATAACACAGGTTTGGCTTGTTGGTTTCTTGTTGTTGTTGTTGGGTTTGTTTTTTTTTGCCTTGCCTGGCATGCTAGAAATAGTTGGCATTGGCTGCATGCTCTTGTGGTTGCGGCTTGTATTGGTTGTTGCATAATAACTGCGAGTGTGCATTAGCCAATGCAAATCAGAATAAGAGACCCGTGGAGCTTAGAGGAGACGGGTTTCAAGTTGCAACCAGGAGGCAACGGGGGGTGGGGATAAAAGCATCGGGCTGCCCCGAGGGGAGCCTGCACCTTTCCAGCCTCACTCGAAAGCCAGAGGAGCAAGCCTGCGCGTCCCCTCCAGCCCTTGGGGGCAAGGCAGATCCTCGTCACCCCTCCAGAAACCAAGCCAGGCTCGGGCTCCGTGCCTCGGCGGAGCGCGTAGCAATGCCACCCTGCCCCGGGGATCACCCCCCTCCTGCCCGCTGGTCCAAGGGAGGAGGAGTGGTGGCAGGAGGGTGGAAGTGGTGGGGGGAGGCGGGTCGCGGGGCAGGCTGGGAGTTGTAGTCCGGCGGGTGGCGGCGGTGCTGTCCCGCGCCGCTCGCAAAAACTACCTTGCCCACATGGCCTCGCGCCCGGGCGCATGAGCTCTCCGCCGCCTCAGCGCATCTATTATGCTGCCTTGCCGAGGCTAAAAAGAAGAGCAACTGGAGGGGACTATCGGGCAAACGTTGCTGGAGCCGCCGGGGCAAAGTAATCTGTTTAATCTTCCCCTTTCTTTGTTGGGCGCGTCGCGAGCAGCGGCCGGGCTTGCTGGGGTTTTTTTTTATTATTATTATTTTTTTTTTATTTTTATTTTTTTTGTTCCGCGGGAGGGCGGGGGCACGAATGCAAAACCCATTTGGGGAAAGGCCAATGCTGATTTAAAAATAATAATAATAATAATAATAATAATGATTATTTAATGCAAGGCAGAACAAGGCTTCCGCAGCCTTTGTGCATGGCAGCAGCGTAACAAAGCCAGCTGGAGGGCTCCGGCTCCGGCCCCGGCTCCAGGGCGGCCGCTGCTTCTCTCCTCCTTCCCCTTTTCCCCTGCCCAGGCGGCAGCTCCGGGGGATGTTTGCACTGAGCTCCTGCCTCTTTTATTGCCTCCCCCCCACCTTTTCTTTCTTTCTTTTTTTTCCCTCCCACCTACCGCTCTCCCCTCCCAGCTCCGCGAGAGGCACGGGCTGGAGTTTGTGCAGCGCAGCCCATCTCCCTCACGGAAGGGATTTTTTTTTTTCCCTCTCTCTCTGCCCGCCATCTTTTAAAGGGGAAAATTATGGGGGAGACGAGGCACGGGGGAGGGCTGCGGGCTTGCTTTAAACAAAACCAAACACGACACAAAGCAGCCCCTCTTGGCGAGCCGGGCGAGGCGAGGCGAGGCGAGGCGAGGGCTAGTCGGTGCAGCCCCCACTTGCCAGCTGCACAAGGGCTTGTTCAGTGCAGCCCCGGGCGAATTGCACCCAGCTCCCCTGGCCGGGGGTGCCCGGCGGGAGGAAGGGGTGGGGTGGGGGCTGGCTGCGGCTTTGACGGATGGCTTCGCTCGCTCCCCAGCCCGGAGAGAGAGGGGAGCAGGTGGCACCCTTGGCAGCATGTGTTGTTTGCGGGGTGGCGGTGTGCGTGTGTAATTGGTGCAAGCCAGGATGTGTGCGTGGAGTGAAGGGTGTGCGGGTTGCCTTGAGATGCGGGAGCTGGTGTCCTGTCCTGGCGTGCTCCTCGCCATTTGAGTATTTGGTTACGTTTCGCACCTGAATGTGGGCAGTGGGGACCGGCCACAGCTTGCAGTTGAGCCGCTTTCACTCTTCAGCCTTTCACCCTATTGCTGCTGTGTCTAGGTCGCCTGCATCGCCGCGGGAGCGGGTGAAAGCCATAAGGATCCTAAGCTGACCTCATGTGGTCCAGCCCCCCTCCCAAGGCAAGGCCATTGCTCACCAAACCATCCTGGCCAAGTGTCTTCTAACTTGCTCTTGAAAATTACTGAGGACGGAGATTGGCTGCTTTCTCCAGGCAGCGTCTTCCAGCGCTTGACCACTCTCAGAGCCCAGCATCTCCCATCTCAATTTCCCCGGCCGCCCTACAGCCACAGAAAAAAGCCCACCCCCAGCCTCTCTGTAATCGCCCTTCAGGTATCTGAAGACTAATATAATAACCCCCCACCCTCAGTTGTCTCGTCTCCAGACTTAACTAACTCTCAAAGCCTGTGCAGCATGGGAACAGGTTGTATGGGAAATGTAGGAAGTTCCTTAGAGAAAAATATCCATGGCAAAGCAGGAAACGCTTTCCCTTTCATCGGTTGTTGTTGTTTTTTTCCTGTAGCATGGATGTACCTCTAATTTAGAATTGGAGTGAAATATCACAGGAGTTGTATGTGTTTGTTTTTTAACCCCAACTCTGTTTCCAGTTTAAGCTATTTGACATTATGTAATAGTAGGTTAGGGGAAAGCACAATTAGCCACACACACCTGCTGTCCCCTGCTGGGGGAAGAGAAGTTGTTTTTTTTTGACAAGCTAGTTAGTATTTTTATTGCCTTCCAGGTTATGTGAGTGGCACTAAGGAACTGTCCATACATTCAACTGGAAATTTTAGACTTAAGGCTGACAAGGCTCTTTGGGTAGATGTGCCGTCTTTTTTCCAGCTATTCAGCTGGTCTAATAAATTGGTTTCTGCAAGCTTTTGGGCACAAACGTCCTTCTTCAGACATGGGGAGAGTTTTGAGTTTAGTGCTGTGACTGTCCTGAATTCACCCTGGGATATAAGGCAAGGTCTCAGAGAGGCCTTGGGTTGCCTGTAATATGTGCTGCATTCTTTGAGGGGGAGACAAGAGCACAGAATAAACTTGTGTGCTTCAAGCTACGTATCAGCTTGGTGAGTTTACAAGCAATGCAAGTAGTGTATTGCTTTAAATATGGCACTTTAAGGAAAGCTGAATTTATTGCAAATGCTGTGTGTTCTCTTCATCTGCACATGGTAGGTTTAGTAGACTAGGATTGCTCCAAAGGGTCCCATATTTCATATTTTGTTAGCTCAGGAGTTTGAAAGAATGTACATAAAGGCCCCTGCTGAAATGTGTAGCTTCCTGCCCAGAAGCTTTCTTTTTTATGGCTCGCAGTCTTGCCAGTGACTAAGACTATCTCCTAAGATGATTTTCCTTTTTCCTTTCTTGCTTCAGTTGAAAATACAAGTGTTTGATGTTTCAAACTGTTTCATTTAAAAAAAAAAAAAAAAAAAAGAGAGTAGGGGGCTTGGGTGGAGGATTATTGTTGTTTTTATGTCACAAGAAGCCTGACCACATTGCTGCCTTTTGCACTGTCTGTGAAGAACGCGGTGCACAGGCAGTGACTATTCACACAGAAGGGCCTGTCAGACATGGTTGCTGCTAAAATTTAAAAAGAAAAAATGCTTATGTGGTTTAGGAGCCTGGGTCTTATTTTCAGAAGAGACATCAGCATGTGGGAGTCTTAGTCCTACTGAGTTCCAGTAAGATTTAGGCTCAAAGGAAACAAGTCACTTATGAAAATAGGACTCCTGCCCTACATGGAGGCTTTTGAAAATGTTACTCACAGCTGGGTAGTTGGGTTGTTTGTTTTTTTGTTTTTTTTTTTTAACAGCAGCTCAGATAGTTTGTGCTTTTTCTTTCTTCTAATGTGGCATGACTTTGGTTCATGATGTTGGCAACAATAGTCTTTCACATTTTATTTTGAAGCAGAGCTGGTTTTGCGCGAGTGTCTGCAAATGAAACCCCTTGGAAATCACAACTATAACTTAACGGCTGGATGAAGTTAAGGAAGTTTTCTAATAATGATGCAAAGTCCCATGTCTCCTGGGTAAAAAACTTCATGTTTCAAAGCTTTGTCCCAGAATCTTGTTTCAATCTAGCTCTTGTTGCATAAAACAGGGAGACTATTATAGAGCTTCCTACCTAAAAAGTCCAAAGTGTTGCACCATCTCTTGCCATCTGTTCATTGTGGACAGAGCCCCTGTCCCCATTAAGACCCATTGTCTTAGCTATGATCCCTATGTGTAGAGAGGCAGGATTGGGGTCTGCATTAACACTCGGGCAGACATCTTCCTTACAGGCGCGCAAGAAGATGCATATAACTTCTGCATTGTGCACCAGGGTCCCAACCAGCTCTCACTGTGGTCTTGGTCCTGCTCAGTTGGTTAATGTGCAAGTCCCAGTTGGTTGCACTGATGGCACGTGTGTGCCAGTAATCTCACTGCACAGCAGCAGCTGAGACATGTTGTGAGGGCTCACATTTAGAAGACTTAGTTACTTTTACCAAATATGTGACTTCAGCTCTTCTTTGGTAAACTTCCAAGTACTATAAATTCAGACTAATCTGCACTTATCAAAATAAATGAACAGCGAACACTTGGCGTCTCAGCATCCTTGATTGTCGTTCTTTAATCCTGGTGCTTTTCTTCGTTGCTAATTTGCAAAATTAATTAATCCACAGCAGGTCTCCTAGCCATTACCATGAGCCGTACGCTTTAAAAAAAAAAAAAGAGGGAAAATACCACATTATACTACAGTAATAGTCCAGAACACTACTATGAGCACTAGGCTTCTGGGATTTACCAAGGAATCGTTGTTTGCCGTGCTCTTCAGTGAGCTTGATACACGTCCTTCCAAAATGTCCTGTCTCGGGCTTTTAGTTCTGTTGCACTTTACTGTGATGTTAGCTTTTTGTTATTCATTAGAGCTTGCCAGAGGTCAGCCTTTCTGTGGAACACAAACCATGCAATATTAGTGAGAAAATACCTTTTACATGGTTTTACAGCATTGCTTGTTCAGAGAGAAGGATTTAAGAACACTTTCCTGTGAAAAGTGATGTGGAAATTCATAGAAACGTGCTGGTAAAGCTGGCCAGTGCATCCTTCTGTATGTCTTTCTCTGGGATGTGAGGGTTGTGATGGATAAGACAGAGACTGAAGAAATGCTTGCATCCATTTTTGAGACCCTTTACTATCTTGCCGGGACTGGGGGCTCTTTCAAGCTGCTGCTTTTGTTCAGCCAAATAAGCAGGCACTGTAACACTTAGACATTTCAGCAGCAACCTCTAAAAGAAGTGACTTGCGGGCATTTTTTTCCTTCATCTGGACTGGAAGTAGGCTCTTTTCTCCCCTGGTACAGGTGTAGCCGATGCTGTTTTGCGTGTGGTTTCACTGAGTTTTGACATGGGCCAAGGGAAGTGTTTTGAGCAGGAATGAAATCTCAACTTTGAGCAAGTTCAGATCCAAACTTTGTGGCTTGGGTTGGTAGGGCATCTTGAGTAGGTTCAAGCAGGTTTCCTTCATCAGTGCCTCCCTTTGGTCCTATCTGCCCTGAAAATAGAGGCCTACTTTGCTGAATTCACATTGGCCTTGTGAAGCCAACAGGACTATGCTTATTCTTGGTGTTCTTGACTGATGTAGGGATACCAGTATTTTCTACCTGGACGGAGCTCCAAGCGCGCACACAACTATATCAGCCAGGCTGTGCTTTATATCAGTACAGTAAAGCAAAACAACTTTTGCTGTTAAATACATGTGTTTACCAGTGTGACTATATCTACTCTGGGGGTTTTGTTGGCATAGATCCCTCTTTGCAACCCAACACAGCTGTGCTGATGGAAATCTGTAACACAGACATAGCCCTTACCCTGTTTTCACTAACACATCCTTGCTAGGGGATGGAGAACAGCTCTTTTGCTACTGCAGGTTGAACAAA